TTTCCACTCGAAGTGATGCTCCGAACAAAACTTTCTCCATATTTATTTGATGTTATCACATGCTGACCATAAGTAACTCCTATAGTAACTATCAATAAGTTTTGACTACCTTAGGGAGAACAAAAGGCTGAGTCCAGTATGCTTGGATTTTAAATAGCACTGATTGAACTAGTTGAGTTCTGCTAGCATAGGAATGTTTCTTTGAAGTCTATGAGGAGATTTTGGCTAATCATTTTCTGAATCAGAGGTTGCCACTGGATTTAATTTGTGGTTAGATAACAACAAATATAACAATAAAATAAAATTTAAGTAATAATAACAAAAGCATTGCACTAAGAATAACAATCCAATGCATACCAACAAGAGTTGTGATAGACTTGCAAGGACTGGATACGAAATCACATTTGTTAGAGAGCGCTTTTATCTTCCTGGGAGACTTTCAAGCACAAATGCAGATTTAGTCAGGCCACGGTGTAGGTACCAAACACCGATTGGACAACCAAAAAGAAAAAACAAGACCCCCAATGTGGGACTTTACGGGAGCGAGTCCAGATTTATGTGCTCCACTGAAATACCGGACACCGAGTGGAAAACCAAAAAAAAACAATACAATACAATACGACAGGTAACAACCATCCAAACAAGCTGTCTCAATTAGTATTACACCTGATTCCTGATATACATGTTTATACACTAAAGCACAAGGCATTATAGGGAATACACTTTACATAAGTATGTTCAAATGGACAAACATTTCATATATATGGAGGTTCATCCAGAAGTATGTTTATCATCCATACCCCTTTAAAATTCAACTTCCAAAGGGACATTAATTCCCAAAACACTGTCACAAGAAAAATAAATATGAATTTTTTCGTTAAAAAAAGATCTAAAAATATATAATAATTACAAACCTACATTATCTACATGAATGCAGAGCAGAGAAACTAACACTTTGCTCATATTTGTACAAAGAAACCAAAAGTTTTAGTAGACTTCCACATTCCATTGTTCTGCCTTCTTCAACTGCTTTTTGTAATCTGCCCAGTTAATACCTTTCAAAAACATAGGTAAGAATGTTAGGCTTTGACTGATATGTATAGTGGATCAAGACATGTATATCGGATTTAAGTTATATACATTGACGGCTTGATTGTAGTAGGTAGTACTTACTCTACCTTACAGTTTAACTCGACACAGTGCACAAAAGTCGAATTCTTTTACATATGTATGTATGGAATAATGAGATATTTGAACTTATGTTACCATCTCTTTCAGCAAGTGAAGTCATAATGTCATCGATTCCCTGCTCCATGCCTTTGAGTCCACACATGTACACAAATGTGTTGTCTTTCTTGAGTAATGTCCATAGTTCTTCAGCATATTCAGCCATTCTGGTTTGGATGTACATCTTTTCACCTTTCTCGTTAGTCTGCTCCCTACTCACAGCAAAGTCTAGTCTGAAGTTTTCCGGGGCCTTCTCCTTCATTTTCTCGAATTCCTACAACAAGTTATAAATCTTAGTCCTGCATTGTGACATAGTACTAAATTTTGTATCCAAGAAGCATTGAAGACTCAAATTACCTCCTTGTAAATAAGTGAGCTGCTTGTCGGTACTCCCAAGAAAAGCCATGCTAAACCATTGAACTGCATAAATCCAAAACCGTGTCATTCGAGGAGGTAATGAATAATGTGAGAAGAAACTCAGTCATATAACTATCGTGAAACTCGAAGCTGCATAGTTCAAAGCTTTGGATTAATGGAGATTGAATTCTCTTAAAAGTGTCAAAACTATTCATCTTTGACACATACATCACAAATGTTAGATTCACCATTACATTCATCTGATCAATTCCACTTCTGTCCTCATTTTGACATGAAAAGATAAAATACTAATGATTTCTGGTTTACCTTGTAATCCTCATGCTTCTCAAAGAACATTTTCCACAAGAATCCACGGAAAGGAGCAATTCCAGTTCCAGTGGCAAGCTGCAAGAAGAAAAGATCAAAGACTAATAATTAACAACTATGCTTAAGTCATATTGAAGGAGAGCACACAGAAATGCCTAATAGTGATAACATAGGAGCTAGCACGGACCATTATAACTGTCGCATTGGGATCCTTTGGCATGAGCATTTCTTTTCCAACAGGTCCAGTAATCTTAACTTCAGTTCCAGGTTTCAAGTCACCTGAATATTAACATTCCAAAGTAGGTGCAGGGCTCTAAGCATATATTCTTATATTCATTAAGAAATGTTCAGGCCAAGTACATGAGAAAAGATGAAATACACGAGATAATAGCTAACATTGTTTGAAGGTTTAGGGAGTCCTTGATTCTTACATAAGAAGTTCGAGCAGACTCCTTTAACTATTTCCCCTTTGTCATTTGTGTAGACAAGCCTTTTGACACACAGAGATACCTGTATGAAACCTAGCTCTAGTTATTTCAGATACTAGAAGAAGGATAATAGCTAGCTAACCAACCTATGTTATTGAATTTCAAATAGGGCAACCTTTACTAAGAGGGACGTCGATTCTATAAGATAATGTATGTATACAAATAGGTCAACACCACTCTTTACTGGACAAATTATAGCAATAGGCCAACACATCTTACAGAAAATAATGTTTACATCACCGAATCATGTAGTGTTTTGGATAAAATTTGAAGGAATAGGAAGTTTTATAGCTTACAGTTTTGGAGTCTCCGAAGTCACCAAGGGCACTGCTAGCAATGGAGTACAATCTGAGCTTGTGGGGCTTCCCATTACTGTCAACACCATCAGGAATCACTCCGATAGATTGGCCTTCTCTGTATGGGATCTCTCCTGATCAACCCCAACACAAAAACCTCAAATGATCGTTTTACAAAGAGTTTAACTTATATACACTAGCTGTATAAAATAATCTTTATGCCACCAAGTTACAATTACATGAAGTGTCAAAAATACTCATACTGTCATTATATATAAGTTAAGTTCATTTAACAAATTCACTAAAATCAAATGAACTACTCCCTCCATTTTAATTGTTTGTCTTACTTCCTTTTTTAGTTCGTTTAAGAATGTCTCTTTCCTTATTTGACAACTCTTTATTTTTAACTTTCAGATACCACACGATTAAAAGACGGACATTTTGGTACATTCTACACATGTTTAGTTTAAGACCAGAAGATTCAAAAGTCTTCTACTTTCGTAAACTCTATGCCAAGTCAAAACCAGACAAACAAGTTCCATACCCTCGGTGGAAAAGACCATGTGCCAAGTTTCTCCAGGGGCATCATCTCCAGTGATCTTAGTGTTGAGAAGGCATCTGCCAATATAAGGATCCTTTGGCCTGAACTTGTTTACAACTACACCTTCATCCTGTTTCTTCGATACCTTTGCAACCTTTGCAGGTACTTCTGTTGTGAGTTGAGCTCTAATGGGAAACACTTTTCCACCAGCTGATACATTTCTGTTGCATAAAGGAACCTGTTCAAACAAATATAACTTGTGTACACTCAGAGTGTAGCTTTTTTTAATTATTATCTTACACTATGAAGTATAAGTCATTAGAAAAGTAAATAAAATGTACTAAGTGAATTGCTTAGTAATCTTTTACAACATCTTAAGTGAAAATTCTTTTATACTGTCAGTGGATATAAGTTAATTCTGTGATGATCTCCGAGAAAAAAGGAAAATGAATCGAAATTTACCTTGTTGAAGGTAATATTTTCAGGGGAGATGAAGATGGTTTTGATGGAAAGAGAAGTTGAATTAGAGGATGGTAGAGAGAGTGAAGCACTTAATGCAGCAGCCATATTGGTTATGATGCTGAGAAATAGTAGAAGAAATTGAGAGTGGTGAACAAAAGAATTTTTTTTGGGGGGGTTGGGTTAGGGGGGGAGTGAGGTTGTTAAGAAGAAAATTAGGAGAATGGTAAAGAACTAGGAGCTTTCTGGAGAGATGAGTTGATTTAGAATTAATGTGTGGAGGAGATTGGAAGATCAAGATGTGAGGATAAGGAAAAATGCACAATTTAGGCCTAAGGTCTTTTGACAAAATTTAAAATACTTTAATTTGAAGTGGAGCAACAACACAAAAGTTATCTCCATGTGATTTATAAATCACGTGTTTGAGTTATTCAAGCAGTCATGATTGTATATCACACTCTTTAAGGTGCGGTCCTTCCCTGGATCTTGCTAATACAGAATGTTTTGTGCACCAAACTGTCTTTAGAAAAAAAAATTAGGCAAAAATATAAATACAACTTGATTTATAAATGTTCAGTACAATTTACAAACTAGAGATCCTTACAAGAATGTATTACTTTTTTGTAATAAAATTTACATATTTAAAAATTATGTTTAAAAGTAATATGAGTGTAATAGTTAATAATTCAAAATATTTTTAAAACAGTAGTTGTCAAAGAAAAATTTCTTTGATGTCATAGATAGTCACATAATGAGAATTTTAATTTGATAGGCTATTATATGCACATGATTAGTGGCATACTAAGCAAATTATTCCAGTAGGCCAAAAAAATTTACATTTTGTTATTGGAGTATTATGAAGTTTGGTACATCTACAAATATTGGTTTGGTTATTACCTTTCTGAAATACCGGTAAAATATTGCAATATGTTTGAGAAGTGTTTCAAGAGAAATAAGGGATTTTTACTCATAAATGTTCAACTTTATTTCAAGTGAGATTTATGTTCATATACAATTTTAAGTCTTGTTTGAGTATAAGATGTTGATAAAATGCTCCCTCGCACATTTAGTAAGCTTCAAGTCTTTACCAATACAAAAAGGGGTGACTCAGTGCATTAAGCTCCCACTATATATGTGTGGCGTCTGAGGAAGTGCCAGACCATTGAGTCTATTTCTGCAGACATACATTGTATGTTTCCACGACTTGAACATTGTCGAAAGACTACTTACTCTTTCTTGTCAAAATTGGTGAAAGGACTATTCTAATAAATAAAAAAAAGAGAGGAGAAAATGCCTTGAGCAGAATGAAAGAAAAAACTAGAATGCCAATGAAAATGATTATTCATATACTGCAAGAGTAACAGATACTGTGCCTTTTCCTACATAGAATATCCCTGAAGTTTTTTTTACACAAGTTTTGATGCAATCAATGGAATCCCCTGGATCCTCTGGACTGGTAGAGTTCCAGCCTGCTTTTGGATTCATGCAACAATGTCTCCGTCTTTTCATCTGGGTTCAAGTGTGCCTGCTTTGATGCCCATTTGAGCACTGAAAGCACCTCGGCTTCAGCAAGCTCTTCGCTATTAGGGACGTGCAATGCAATGTCGCATAGCAGAAGCAATGCAGAAAACTGAACTACTTTTTCACCAAAGCAAACAAGTTGAACCAAATGTCCTGCACCTCCAGCGCTTATTATTGCCTTGCAATGATTCAGGTGAAGGTAGTTCTCATTGCAAGAAAATTTCTTGAGGGAAATGGCTGCTTCATTTGAAATCTCTGGTTCTCGTTGATCGAGCAGCGTTACTAATGGGCTAATCATCCTCGTCTCTGTAGCTCGAAAAGTCGTGGCCAAATTCCCAATTGATTGAATGCATGGAACAAGCAGGTTCAAATCTTCTTTCTGAATGATTCTCAACAGTTGATCAACAACAGCTTTGCAAGCAGGTGAATTAGGCTTGAACACTGACTTTCTCAAATCAGGATCTTTCTCCGCTACAGCTGTGATTTCCATTACTGCCATCGCCGAATGATACTGAACATCTTCATCCCCTTTCTCCAAGAGTACTGCAAAGCAAAGCAGTGCTCTTGAATCAGTAATGCTATGGCAAATAGTTGAATTTCCCTTGGCCAGTTTCCATAAAGCTCTTGCAGCCATTGCCTTCATATAAGCCTTGGTATTAGGGTCCTCCGATTCTCGCCCTTTATTACTGACCCCTGTAGCATAAAGACTCTGCTGATGATATGTATGGTTTGCATCATTGACCGGAATCTGCTGAGACGCTTGCATAGCCGTGGTGGCAGTAACCACAGTGTGCATCTGAGTAGGCTTCTTATTTCCTAAAGGATGTGGAATGTGGCTATTATCATCATCCTCATTCACCTTGTGCACACTACTCACATTACTAGCTGAAAGAACAGCATCAATCGACGTGGATTTGCTAACAATAGCATACTTGCTATGCTCCTGAACCGTCTCAAACGCGAGATGGCTAACAAGTAATCTGATTATGTTATTCTGATGAAAAACATCTTGACATTCGGGGTAATGTGCAGCAAGTTCAGAAACTGCCCAAGCCACCACTGCTTGAACTTTCATTAGACCTTCTTTGAGGATTTTCACAAAAACTAGACACACCCCAGCATTCACCATGTGTTCGACACTTCCAGGGTCACATCCTAGTAATCCAATTGCCTTTGCAGCATTCTCCTGACCCTCCGATTTCCCTTCCTTCAACAATTTCAACAATGGTCCTACACCACCTTCTTCAATGATCAATTTTCTGTTCCGATCATTATCTCTAACCAATGAGACCAACGATGCAGCAGCCTCAGATCGATCATTAACCGAACCAGTACACAAAATCGCTATATGCTCCCAAATAAAACACAATATAGGCTCATTAGTAACAATAGGAGGAAGTCCTAAGTACCTATCAGCACCCTCTTCAGCTGAGGCAGAGACGCGGAGTAGCCACGACACATTACTAATAGAATTCTCTAACTGTGAAGACAAGTTACGGAAATCTGCAGAAGGTATGATGGTAAATACGCGCTTCACTAGTCCCTGAGTGCAGCATTTGGTAACAATAGACATAGCTCTTTCCAAAGTTTGTTCAGTATCATCAATAATTCGGCTCATGGGTCGTTGATAGAGCTCGTTGCTGGCTCGTGCTGCTTGACGAAGCAGCACAATCAGCTTCTCAGTCTTGGACTTTAGCTCAGCACATTCTTGACTGAATAAAACAGCCTCATCAGCTGCCTGGATCACCTGATCAGCTAATTGAATTGGATTTGCCAAGATTTGCTTAACTAAATCCGCCATCAACACTATACTAGAATACTTGTTTTATTACAAAGGGGATTCAACAATTTATAAAAAAAGAACTTACTTTTGCCTTATTTAGAGCAAATTGAACTCTGTTGCATTCATTCAATCTATGATCTGTTCAAGATGAGGAACTTTTGCTCTTCTTTGGCAGAATTGCTAGATCAAAAATTAAAAAATGAAGTTTTTATTTAGCCAACTCAAGAATCTTGCCGACAAAAACCAAGAAATGATGAGAAATCAATGACTAAAAAACTTTTGAGAAAGTGAGTAATTGATGTAACTTTTGCTTTGTCGTACGTACGACTATAGTATATATCAAATGAAAAGGGAAATGAAGATTGTAAGGGATAGAAATAAAGAAAGACTTTTGGCTTGGGTTTTGCAAGACTAATAAATAATAGTACTAAAAAAAGTAGATGAACTTCTATTGGACGTTTGGCTATGGAAGAGTTTAAGTTTTTGGTGACTTGACTTAAAAAAGTGATTCTTATCATGATAAAACTTAAAAAGATATTTTTTCCGTCCCATTTTATTTTATGTGATACCATTGGATTTGATACAAAATTTAAGAAAAAAATATATATAGTATAAAACAATCTTTTTATATATGTGTAATTATAAATCATTTCATTAAAGATAAAATGAGGTTTTTAAAGTTAAATTGTTTCTAATTATAGTGGGTGACACTCTTTTGCAACATACTAGAAAGAAGACTGGGTCACATAAAATGAAACGAAGAATCAATTGGTTTTACTAGGGTTAACCTTGTCTTTTTGACGAAAGAAAGGACAAGAAGAAGAATCTTAGCTAGCGTTTGGCCATGAATTTCCAAATATTCTTGGAAAATATTATTTGGGTGAAAATTTGGGTGAAATTTTACCATGTGTTTGGCCATAGTATTTCGGAAATATATTTCACTTTTTAGAAAAATATGATTTATACCCATAAGTTTTAAAAACTATCAAAACTAATCATAAATTTGTATTACAAGTCAATTGGATCTTCGTTGCAACAAATAACAAGTAGTGTCCATGCCACTAGAGCAATGTGGTAGTTTGGAGTGAGTGCAACAAGCATCATTTCATACATCGTGAAGTAGACAAAACACATGACTTTGTTACCCTGAGCCGATTGTTCATCATTTTCATCAACAACCATATCATCACTTTCATTCACTGAATATTTCATCACTACTTTGGTGTTCGCGTAAAAAATTATGTAATACAGCGCAAACAACTACAATAGAGAGTGTTTTTGTAAAAGATAAAAGTTTGGTGTAAAATTTCAATTTTCAAAAGATTCCAAATAATGAGATTGGTCCCAAATACTAGAAAAAACTAGTATTTGGGATATTTGTCAAAAATATTTGCCAAATAATAGCAAATTATATAGACAAACACTATTTACCAAATTTTTCCGAATATTATTTGAAAAATCTATGGCCAAACGGGCCATTAGTATACAAGGACTAAGGAGCAGAAAGTCACAGGACTATTTCGTTCCCTACGTCCTCTTGGGTATGGCCCCACGCTACAAGACAAAAGACGAGGAACATATATTTTACCACTCCCTTGCGAGGATCCCTTTACGCTCCGATGAAAACTATATAAAAGCCCGTTGGATTGACTTAAAAAAGTAGGTTTTAAGTAATAAATAAAAAGTAGGAGGAGCCTTACTTTTGATTTTTAATTTAGAGCTTGTTTGACAATATTGTTGGGAGCCTAGAAGCACTTATTTTGAGAATTTTTTATTTTTTTTTAAATTAGGTGTTTGGCAAACTTGTAAAACTGCTTTTAGATGGAAGCAGAAGCAATTTTTCTGTAGTTGGTGAGAAGCTAAAAAAAAATTCTTCTTTAAAAAAGCAGAAGTAGAAAATTATTTTTTTCAAGACTAAAATATTCTTTTCATTTATATATTTTTACCAATATATCTATTATTAATTAATTAACATATCTCACATGTCTCGGTAAGTTTCATTTGATAATTTTATTTTTATTTTTATATAATTTTTTTTTTTTTTTTTACGCTTATGTATTATTATTTTATTTATTATTTTGCAGAATTAGAAAAAAAAAAGGTAACAACAATATTTTTGCAAGATTAGAAAAAAGAAAAAACAACAATAAAAGATTTCAACCCTCCAAAATGTATAATATTGATTGAAAATTTGAATATGAATATTTAAATTTAATTTAGTTTTTTGTTATAAATGTTTAAACTAGTTTCTCACTATAAAATAATCTTAATATTAAAAGCACATAATACTTTTCCTTTATGGTAATTTGACTCTCAAAAGCATTTTTTAGAAAAATTAGTCAAACACAATTTACTCATAAAAACCCCTTATAAAATAAATTAGCCAAAAACAAATTGTTTTTTTTTTTTTCAAAAAGCACTTTTCTAAAAAATTATTTTTAAAAAGTGCTTCCGAAAATAAGTAGTTTTTAGCATAAATGCTAAACACACTCTTATTTTAAGTCATTTTTAACTTATTTCAAAATATATTTTTAATTTTGTCAAACATTTTCTAACTTTATTTTAAGTCATTTTTTACTTATTTTAAGTTATTTTTATATTTGCCAAACAATTTTAGAAGTTAAAAACTGACCTAAAAGTAGGTTTGACCAACTTATAAACCAATTCAAACACCCTCTTAGTCACTTTGATCAATTTAAATTTAAAAAAATTATAATTTTTTAAAAAAGTTATATTTAATTTTTTTTTTAAAAGTCTCTCTTACTTCTGTTTTTTTTTTGTTCAAACTATCCTGTCTTTTCTCATTAATGTTGTGTTAGGCAAGCGAGATGTTCAAGAGAGGTAGGTACAAACAATAGTTTATACAAATATTATCATGATCGAAAAATGTTCAGTAATCGTAAAGACAACTAATGCACATCTCGTTGCGAGTTATAACTTATAAGATATGAAAGGGCAAATTCAGAATTTGAAAACGATGGATGCATCATCAATGATTAATATACGTTAGTTAAAATATGTTATTTAATTTATATGATAATTTTATTAAATATAACTAACGTATAAATATGAATTAAATGACCTAACTAAATAAAATTTGCTTTGTTGATTGATGATTTTAAATTTCACTTTACACCATGAGATCGCAAGTTCAAAACTAGTCATCCCCTTATTCACGAAAAATAGTAAATGGGATACAAACCCAAATCTCTCACCTCAGAGTATGCAACATCTAAACCAGCTCAACCAAATGGTTTTAGTCTTTGGGTGCATAGTAAAATATATATTTATCTCAAGCTATATATATATATATATATATATATATATATATATATATATATATATATATAATATTTTCCGATGGTAACAGGTACATGTGTACTCGAAAACATATGTGGTTCCACCTATATATACATCCATTTTACTAGAGAGAGATTTGGTCATACACTTTCATTTATTTTACTTGTTCGGTATTAACTTGACACACCATTTAAAGAGCAATAAATAGAATAATAATTTTACTAAATCACTCTTTGAATGCAGTAAAGGAATAATAAATTCAATGCTTTGAAAAAAAATAACTATCTATTTTTAGTATAGTAAACAAGTAAAAATGAGACTCAGGGAGTACCAACATCTGGGCCTATATTAAAGTCATTTAGAAAAGTATATACCTTTTGTAAAAAAAAACAATATTAAAATTGGTAGTGTATATAATTTCATTTCCAATGTAGTTTAACCATATAGCAACTTATTTTTTTACTAGTGTACTTGACGGTCTCGTCAAAGTATCAAAATAATGTAATGTTATATTATGTATAAATTTATATGAATGAAATTTTTTACATAAATAATAACTGTGTTAACATAAAAATGGATATATAAAAGTATTAAGAACAAAGTGAAATGAAGTAATATTTTTTATCCCAATTACTTCACTTTTTTAAGCTCCAAATAATTGAATTTCGAAAAATAATTGTCTGATATGGACTAAGAAAACAAAATATCTTGTAATAACATTTGGAAGCTTGTACTCCCACTATTCCATATTAACTAATAATTGAGGTGTTTTCTATTGGTCAAAATAATTTAATTTTTTAAAATTCTAGATGTACGTTTATATTTTTTTTTCTTCATAATTTTCCATTCATTTATTTAAGTTTTATATTTTCTAGAAAATAAATTACACTAATTATAAAGTCATATTTATAATTATATAAAGGGTAATGAGAAAATTATAGTTTAACGTCTTTGAATATTATTCTTAATATGTGTGTGTTCCTCGAAAATTTACTGATCAATTATTTCCTAATTTGATTTTCTTTTTTTCTTGTATTTTTGATAAATCCTCGAATGCGTTTAGAACTTGTGTGCTATCATTATGATAATTTCACGAATAAGGTTATAAAGACTATATCAATTTTGTGTCTTGTTTTGATCAATAATTTGAACATATTATATTGTTTAGAAGCATAGAGTCCTAGTTGTATTTTAGAAAAGTAAATCCTAAGTATTCCTATTTCAGTTTGGATTAGGGATTCATTATTTTGTTTATCGTTCCTATTCATATTTAGATAAGTGAAACTTGTCATATTTATAATTAAAGATCTACATTAAATTAATTGAACAAGCCTCCTAACCATAGTTAGAGAACAATTTAGGAAAACACTCACCAACTTTGGTAAGTTTCCACTAGTTTTGACTCCTCATTTGTATCATCAAGTTAATTATACTTTCTGATTTCTTGTTGATATAATTTAGATTTTATTTAAAAATTTAATCAATTAAAATAAAAATATCCTTAATAAAGACAAATACACAAAGATAACTCGAGATAATCTCTAAAAATGTAGTAGTACAATAATATTTTAGATCATATATTCTATATTAATTTTAACATATACCATTATATATATATTTTTTATTGTAACCTTGTAAACTACCTCTGAAGAAAAAAAAAATCTAAAGTATTTTTTATTTAGTAAAAAGATAAGTATTTTCCAATAACACAACTTAAGCCAAAAATGAAAATAAAATGGACAGGAAAGAAGATATTGTATAATATATAGTAATTGTAAAAAATTTAGCATATTTTCTGTTTTCCAAACAATAAAGTTGGTCTCCTCTTTTTTTCTTAATTATTTTGCTTCATTTTTTGGTCAGATATAAATTTTTTTAAAAACAACGAAGGGCATTCTTAACTTTAGATTAGGAAATGATACTAGTGAAGAGGTAAAACATATATCCGGAAAAAGGTCAAAAATATCCTTG